GAGTGTTAATTCACTGGAATGTTATATATAGGCAGAGGGAACAACAATAAGAAAAAAAGTCCACAAAGAAAAACCTGGAATCAAAGTCAACACTGAGCTGATTTCAGAAATGAGAGGAGATTGGGCCCTTCTCATTTATATAAGCCCGCCCAATTGTCAGGCCATGTGTTAAAACACTATATTAAAAGAAAAAGTTTTGCAAAAGGGCTACAAGGAAAAAAAAAAAGTTGCTGTGATTGACTGACAGCCACAGAGGCAAGCATTTCTTAACTGAACGTACCAGGGTCAGCAAACCTTCTCTATAAAGTGCCACAGAGTAAATATTTTAGGCTTTGTGAGCCATATAGTCTCTGTAGTGGCTACTCAATTTTGTGGCTGCAGTGCGAAAGCAGCCACAGACAGTATTTAAATGAATAGATGTGGCTGTGTTCCAACACAACTTTATTTACAAAATCAGGTAGTGGGCCGAATTTGGGCCATAGGCTATATAGTCTGCTAGCCCCTGGTTTATACCATCTCATACGCATATTAAAGGCCTAAGTTAAATAAGTTTAAGTATGTTTAAAATAAAGTTTAAATAAGTTTTTGAGGTGAGTCACCCAGCTCAATGGACATCAGGGCCTCGTGCAGAGCCCTTTACCTTACACTATCTGACTACAAGGCCTGGGAAATAGCCACCTGCAGGAAGAAGCCCTTTGAACAAATGACTGCTGAAAAGACTGCAGTGACAGGAAGGAGAGAGAGAGAGAGGGAGCAAAAGACAGGCAGACAGAGGATCTTTGTGCCAAAGACGGTTAGCTGTCTACCAAAAATTCATGCTTCTGGTGAACTTTTGATTAAAAAATAGAGATTGAGTGGTCTGCAGCTGATGCAAAATTACTTCTTTTTAGCAGTAATGCATGAATGTTTATTAAACATATTGTTTATAGTTACTTAGCCTTTCATTTATTCATTCAATAAACATTGCCTACTACATGCCAAGTATTGTACTAAGTCCTGAAAAAAACAATACTGAATAATTTAGGGTCATTACCAGATACCAAGATGTCTAAATTACTTCCCCTCTGATTCCCTGTTGTGATTTTCTGTAACCTTCCACTATTTTGTAGTATGTGATTGTGACATGCTGAACCTCACAGAACTTTTTAAGGCCTCAAGCCCTCTGACCAAGTTTTCCCTTTGCATCTGTTAAGACCATTTCTGTTATTGCTTCACAAAGATTCTGCAGGTCAATAAAAATTACCTGCATGTCATCTTTTGCAAATGGCTTGGTGTGTCCCATCAGTTAGCCTTTATATCTGCTAACTCCATCTTACACACAAAGCTGGACAGACTTTACCTGCTCTAGGCAGCATTCCTTGACCAAAGACTCTCAGATATATATATATATATATATCTCCATCCACGATGCTTTCTCTAGTCAACTATCCACTCAAAATATCCACTCAGATGTTCCATAGGTCCTCAAATTCAACATGTTCAAACTTACACCCCACCTACCCATATCCTCTTCTCCCTTCCAAAGTTACCTAGATCAGAAAATGGAACCATTTGCCACCTAACAGTGGAAGCCATAAGCTCGGAAGTCCTTCTTGACAACTTCCTTCCCCTCTCCCCTGACGGTCTACTATTCACAAAGTCTAGGTGACGGTATCTCCTAAGTATCGCTTGAACCGAGATACTTCCTTCTAACTCCACTGCCTTCATCAGAGCCTAACCTACCACAACCTCTCATACCTGAACATTCTAATTGTTCTGCTGGAATCCACTCTCATCTAACTCTCATGTCTACCCTGTATCCATATGATCATATCAATCCATTCAGTGCTTTCACACTGCTCTTAGGGTAAAGAACAAAATTCCTAAACACCCTATTAGACTCTGCATGACTGACTCTAAACAACATTTTTTCTGACACTACTCTCTTTTTCACTTTCTCTGACACATCTGAATTAGGTGTCATTTTAGAGCTTTATTCTGGTTCACACCTGTGGAAGATTTCCATTAAAGGGCCCTTTCTTCACCAACCCTTGCATCCAAACACTTTGCCATATAATACTTAAATGTTCTCCCACTGCTGGTGACACATAATTTTTTGCCCTTGAGTTCAGCCATGTGACTTGCTTTGGCCTGTAGAATTAGACAAGGTACAGAGCCCAGGGCCCAAGAGGCCTTGCATGTTTCCATTTATCCTCTTGAACCTCTCCCCTCACCACAAGAACATGCCCCGTGTAGAAATTTGGTTCCATGAAAAGGATGAGGGACATGAGGAGTGAACTACCTAGCTGAGCACAGCCTAGATCAACTGATCCTCAATGGACACATGGATTTATAAGAAACAATACCTGGCTGTTTTAAGCCACTGAAGTTTGGGGTGGTTTGTTATGTAGCAATAGCTAGCTGATATACTAACACAATACTTTGTATTGGCCTATGGCTTTGTAACTATCCTCTACCTTAGCTGACATTTAGGTCAACTAGGGTTAAAAATAAACAAAGACTGCATAGATGGATCTCATCCTTCCTACTATGAACAGCAAACTTGCTTGAGGATTGAGGTCCAGTAATAAAACAATAGCTAATTTCCTGAGGATTCCTCCATGACTTTCCAAATGAACTGAGGGCTTTCCCACCAATCCTACAAATTGGGTGGATGTAATTGGGCTTGAATCTTTCCCTTACTGCCACAGAAGCTCTTCATTCCTGAAAGAAATGGCAAATCCACTGCCACAGCTGGGGGACCAAGCTGAAAGTTCAGAGCTGGTTTCTGAAGTGACACAATCTACCTGCATTCTAGATAAAAGCACAGTCTGTCATAACAGGCATTTTAAAGGTCATCCTAGATTTAAACAGCACATCTTGTTCCTTTTATCCTTGTCCTCTGAATTTCTCTTTGAAAAGTTGTTGAATGTTTCTGGCCTTTATATTTTCTCTTCCTGACAAAACCTATTACTGGTGGATGTTAATTAAGCCACAGGACCAAGTCATTGACAATTCAAAATGAAAACCATGCTCACCTGTTGCTGTTATGCCCTGCCCCAAAAGCCACAGCAAAATGCTGGGCGCTTAAAGGAGACTCTTGAAATTAAGACTCTTTCACCCATAATATGAAGAGTGACTTGAGGGATGTAAAACAAACTGCCCTGATTAATACACCATCAGGTTTACTATGTCAGAACGGAAGTAAAAGACATAAAAGTAAACAGTCAACAGATTTCATAGCACTAGAGAAAATAAAGACACACATACCTGGACTGATGCAATTCTTCTCTCTGAAATAAATTTTAAAAATACATGTTTTAGTGTTGCTCAAACCCACCCAAAATTCCAAAGCAGACATCTTGAAGGCAGAGGTCATTAACTTTCCTAGCTAAAATGTTTTGGATTTTTCTTTTTGGGGGGAGAAGATTAGAACATTAGAAATTTTAGTTTGCTCTTTCTGCCCTTTTAAACCAGCCACGCCAGGTGGTCTTCACATAGCGTGGATTTGCAAGAGGGCCACCTTTACTATCTAACGACTGACAATCTCTAGCCTGGGTTCTTTCTTAAAGTGCCTTCAAGTATATTGAAGAAGAAAGTGAGCTCGACCTCCACGCTCCTTCCCCAAACTACTGCACCCCTTTTACTTGACAGCCAACTGTCCTAAAAACTGTGCGTCCCCCCAGCCGTCTCCCAACACAGCACCCCACCCCGCGACCGGGCAATATGGCAACCTGGAGACCTACTATGCTTTGCATCCACCAAATGAGAGACAGGAGGCTTAGAACTGTGTTACCTGAGGCCTGGGGAGCTGTGGGGCGTAGCTGGGTGCCGGCTGGCCGCCAGTTCGTGGAAGGGAGGCCTGAGGAAGCGACCCCTCGTTGAGGGGCTGAGGCACAGGAAGGGCAAGCTCATCACTGGGCGCCATTTGGAGCTCAAACGAGTCGGCTGCGTTGAGTGCCCTTTCAGGGTCCGGAGGCAATCTTGAGTGGAGTCTCAGGGGCCACAGGGAGTGCAAAGACTCCTCCGGGCTTCCAAATAGCCCGCTGGAAAGGCAATGCGGGGAGCCGGAAGTCTCCTTGCAGCTGCCCCAGGCGGGCACTTTAAATGCCGCCGGCTGAGGCGGCGCATGCGCAGTGCCGTGCGCAGGCCCGCGCACACTCTCGCAGCTGCGGCCCCTTAACCTCCTCAATGTGGGCGAGGTGGAGACGCGGCCCGGGGCTTGCCGGTCAAAGTGGAAAAGTTTCCCCTGGTTCTGACAGTGCTTCTTGGGCAGGCTTTCCAGGGTGGGTCGAGGAGAGGACCCGCAGTCTGGGCGCTGCACCTCTGGGAAGGATGGCTCCGTCTTCTCCACGCCACTAAAAGGCCCAGTTGCTGGAAGCTTCCAGGGGACGCCGTCAGAGTTGCTGTTCTCCCGACCGCACTGAGGTTGTTCCAGTTCCGCCTACAGGTGCCTCTCTTCGTCGGGAGTGTCTTCGTCCTTTTCCAGAGGATAACTGCAAGCAGGTGGCTGCATCTTTAATGAGGAAGAGCAGAGTGCGGAATCTGTTGCAAACAAGGAGACGGAGGTGAGAAAAAAGTTGTCTGAAATTTCACATAAAAACTTATAATTCACCAGAGCAGATAGGGAATGCCCAGTTAACATTAGTATCTGTTATGTTTTGTAGATAATTAACATAAGTGAGTCCAGTCTTCCCGTCTAAATTGTTTACGTATTGAAATTTGTTTATGTTACCGAATTACGTCGTTTGGACCTTGCTCTGTGCCTCGATGGGGGAGAGTTCTTTTTTCCATTGGGGTTCAGGTAGGTGAATACGAAACCCAAGCGGAGATGGACACAGTGCAAGCTTTACTTAGTGGCCGAAGAATGGAGAAGCGGGAACGGTGTTTGCAGACCAACCTCTCGCCCACGTGGCGAGAGTGATTTAAAGAGTAAAGACAAAGGGAGGAGGAGTGAGGCTAATTTATGGGGAGGCTTATGCGTTAGTCTACCGGGAAGGGGCAGGGCTTTTTCCGAGGGAGTGGGGTGCCACCCCCTTTTTATCCTTTTTTTGTCTTTAATGTCTGGTCCTGGCAGCCGGTAGGTGTGTCACATAATATGTTAATATAGCAAAATCAGTGTATAATGAGACTTAGGATCTGTTGGGCGTCAGATACATGCCATCTTAGTCCCAGCTGGTTTCATCTGTTTTCTTTGTTCGTAGCTTTCTTTCTTATCTCTGGACCCTTTAACTTAAAGATTTGTGTTCACTCCTGCTAAAGGTGGGGTGGGGGGCATTTGGCAGGTTTTGAGCAAGGACACTCCTGCTAACTGTGGAGGTTGATGGGTTCTGATTAAAGACCTGGAGCAGCTCTGGCAACATTTACCGGTTACTTAATATCCCTTCCAGTTCAAACAAAAAAGCTTTTAAAAACCTTGGTGATCTAAGAGATTTCTTGGAAGCCACAAAGCTCATCACCTTTTGATTATTCCATTTTAAGAGAATCAAATATACATTCAATTTCCCTTACATTCTGCATTTATATATGTATGAATATGTGTATATGTGCTTTGGAGTATTCCAGGGATATAAGAATGAGAGAACAAGAAAAATGAGACCCCCTTCCCTCAAGGTTTAAATTACAGAATGAGACATAATTTCAAAGATAGTGATGCAAAGTGTTTGGCAAGAGGCATTTTAGATTTTCTCCATCCCCGTGTTCTGGAAAAATAACTCACCAGTTTGAAAAGAAAAACTGCGATGTCATGCAGATGCCCTGCTTCTCGTGATTAGAGGTGCTTTCTGTGATTCACTAATGCAGAATTACCTCCCAATTAAGCTCTTCTCATGTTCAAGCAAATCTGATTCTACCATGGTGTAAATATGTTCATGGTGACATGGAAATGACTTACTGCTATTCTGTTATTTTGTAGTTTTCCATTTGAAGAAAGTAGTTGCCTGTGGGAAAGCATCAGTCCTTACCCATCCTATCAACTATTGCATAAGAGGCAACTCCGGATTATTTACAGATCTGGTGTGGGACTGTGGAGCAAATAATAATCTTGCCTTGCCATGGGCAACGTAGGAGGCGGTTTCAGGCTGTACATGGCTTGTTGGTGGATGGAACATCAGTAGTTGACCACATGTTCTGAGATCTCCAATAATAACTGCAGCAAGTCTATAATTCTTTTTTTTGTTTTTTGTTTTTTTGGCCTTGCTGCACAGCTTGTGGGACCTCAGTTCCCCGACAGGGTTTGAACCAGGAATGGACACATTTGGATTGCCCAATTTTAAGGATAGCTAATAATTTACTTTTTTAGTGCTGTATAATTTTAATTTCATTGACAACACTTTTTAGAACTTTTTCTACTGCGTATCATTTATATCCTCAATTTGATAATAGAGAATACTGACCACCGGAAAATTCTTGATGACCTGTCCTCCTATGTTGTGACTCATGAGACTAGATGACATACAGTATTATGACTGTTTATTGTAGTTCCATGCAGACTAATTGTTATAGGTTTTTAATAGCATTGATTATTTACCCCATGAAATAGCCTCACACTGATGTACTCCCTAGTTTTTAGACATTACTTCTCCGTATAGTTTTGTACTTGCCTATGGCAGATACTTTATTTCCTTTTTGTTTCTTCTAATCTGTTTCAGGGGTAGAAGTCCAATAACCCTGTGTCAAGAGAATTAGTAGACTCTTAGATTTATTCTTATCAGTAAAGAGGAAGAGCCCAACATCATGATCTTGTCATGACAATTCTGTGAGGTTGATTTGGGGGACTCTGTGTTCTCTTATGTTTACACCCTGGCTCTCATCTGGTTTAAAGCCAAGTGAAACTAAAAGGTACTGGATTTTAGATTGGAGAGTTGTTTAAGGAACTACTTAGATACTAACGAAAGTCAGTTTGACTCTTACTACAAAAGAAATCTGAAATTCTTAATGCTGGGTTTGCTTTAATATTTTGAGCCGAGGACTCAAATGTTACAGGACTTCACATATAGAACAAAAATGTATGAGGTACCCTTATTTTGGGGGTGAGGAGAGACAGTAATACCTGCTAGGAAACTTACATTTTAGTTAAGGTGAGGTTGAACTGGTTTTGATTTTAGATTGGTAATTTCTGGCTGACACCAGCTGCACAGGAGAAGAATGAAAAGACCCATTTGACCACTGATGAAAACAGGTGTATTAGGTCTCTTTTCAGGTCCTTTACTGGAGGGCCAGTTGCTCATTCTCCCAACAAACAAATGCCTGAGCTGAGGACTGGAGTTACAGGTACTTCCAACACACATACACACCCAGGGGACTTTATAACGTTCCCCTTCATAGCATTGTCCAAGTTCTAGGCAGCAGCATGGTTAAAGGAGTTCAGTATGTTTACACAGGCACTTGTATAATAGTTCTATCAGAATTCTTAGTCCTTGGGTTTCCCCTCTGTTTTTGTGCCTTCTTTCTCCCCCTTAGAGGGGTTAGGACACTGCTTCAGATTTCCTTTCTAGTTGTCCTGACATAGGGTGTGGCAGTCTGTAGGTGGTTATTATACCCAATGGGACTTAAGGGTCATTAAGTATTGTTTACTGGCCAGTGTCTCATATATTGGAACCAAGGCAGTAGTAACTGCTGACATGACCCACCGCAGAACTGGAGAAACTTTAACTACAGCGGAGCTCTGGGAGGCCGTTTGCTGAGAAGGGGAGCCCGAGCTCTAGAGTTAACGATCTGCTTGCTCTCTTTGCCTCACCAGCTAGCCCTGTGACCTGGGATAATCCACTCCCCCTCTGTCAGCCTCCAGGCCACACTTATGAAAGGATATTAAAGTCCCTCCCTCACAAGCTCCTTGCAGGGATAATGGCTGAGGCTCCTGGGAGGCCCTCCCTAAATGATTATCCCCGTGGATCTGATAGGAAGCCAAAAGTTAACAGAAGAGTTCAGGCTAACTCTTCTCCTTTATATTCTCTAAAAGACTAAATCAATAAATGCTCATTATAAAGTAAATCCACCAGGCTTTGACCTCCCAAGCTTTAAGAAGCCAGCAGCCACCACCCACGCTGTTAGGGGAAGCAATCTCAGTGTACTCAGAATTAAACCACACACATTAATGATTCACCCATTCTACTTAGACCTGACCGAGACCAGCAAGACAGGACCAAGAGAAGCTGGTAGCTACAGGGTCTGACCAAATGAAAAGTGCAAGGGGGAAACCCAGATAGCAGCTGAAGGGCCTCTAATACCTGCAAGATGGTCTGCTTCTGAAGGTGACATTGTCCAGGTGGGTCCTGACAAGGGAATCAGCAGAACCACACAGCAAGCTGCCAGGCAAGGGTTCGGTAGAACAAGTTCCACACCTGTAACAATAAACCCTCCTGGCCAAGCACAGGCACACTTGATGGGAGCTGAAATGAGGAACTGGCCTCTCCCCTCCTCAGAGACTTTTCTAGTTATTTGTTTATGAAAAAGCCTAAGGGGAAGCGAGTTCAGAATCTAAGACCCCTTAGAAAAAGTCAGGTGATTCGTTGCTACTGAACAGTGACTGATCCAATACAGAAATGATGCAGATGTGGCTTTTTACTTCCCCTTCAGGTGCTCAGTGATCATCACTGATAGTTCAGTGAGACAGTTCTAGGTTTCTTATCTGTTTATTTTCTCCAGAGTTCTGAGAAGTCATTCCTTTCAGCCTTACTTTGCTTACATCCTAAAACATTTTTTTTGGATCTATTTACTTAGTGGAATATTTTGATAAGCATTGAATAATAGAGGAAATGATCATTGCACTTGGGAACACATTTGTGAGCATTAATTTTCAAGTAGTTAAAAGGCAGATGGAAAGGGATTTGTATCTACCAGCATTCTCATTAGAGCAGTACCCCAGAGAACCTTTATTTGGTGTCTAGGTGGAGATATGGCATACATTCCCAAGAATGTACGCAGTCTTAAAAGATATTTCTGCAGACTCTTTACAAAAACAAATTCAAACGAATTATAATTCAGTCTAATTTTCTGAAGTTGTCATTGTTTAGAATCATTACAGATACTTACTGTGAAGTTTTTTTTAGGTCAGTGGTTCTCACAGTGGGGTCCCTGGGTCAAAAGCATCAGCACCACTTGTGAACTTGTTTGAAAGGTGAATTCTTGCCCCTTCCCACCTCCTGCATCAGAATCTCTGGGGGTGGGGCCCACAGTCTAGTTTTAACAAGCCCTCCCTGATTCTCACACGTGTTAAAAATTTGAGAGCTGCTGCCTTAGGGGGAAAAAAGGTCTAATTTATCGATGTTGGCTTTGTGATAACCCTTGCATTTGTCTTTAATCCTCTCATGTTGGTCTTATTAGAACATCATTTACTTAGAACTTTGAAAAATGACTCGACCTTCTTGCTTTACCGCCATTGTCACTCACTGCCAAACCCAAAACGCAGTAGTATCAAGGGCATTTCTCTATTTTGCCAGCATGGAGCCAGCATGAAATAGTCTGAGCTCCTGCCAAAGCTGTCTAGAAATGAATTGTTTCACTTTAGGAAGAAAGAAAAATGAATAAAGTATTTTAGCTCTTGGTTTGTGGAAACGAAGGTCGTACTTTATCTGCAAGTCCCCTCATGCACACAAGAGTGTAAAACCGTCTCTCCTGGGGGATAATTATAATGGGATATTTGACACCTATCCCCAAATTTCCAACCTCTGGTTGTATCTTAAATAAGAAAATTAAGAGTGTACAGAAAGGTCATAAAGGATTATCAGGAAAAAAAATAGTGCAACCTCTAAAGAGTAAAAGGGACAGGGAAGCATTGGATGGGGAAGGGATACCATGATGGAAAGGCGATGCTGGGGGTCAGCTTCTCCTTCAGGACCTAGGGCAACTCCTTGAAACAAAGGTGGCCCTTTATCTCTAAGTGTGACACACAGATGTTCTCTCCAGTACTTCGGAGGGGGCAGCTTTTCTTATGTTTTTGCCTCCTCCTTACTTGATCGTGGTAAGTCTTCACTGGGGAGAAAACCACTTGGGATGTGCCCCTTACAAAGTCTAAAGCCTGACAAGCTCGTTTTGTATCATGAATACCTAGATCTGAGGCTGTAAGCTGTGGAATTCTGACTGGTCTTCCAGCTTTTTTTAAAAATTAATTTTTTAAAATTGGAGTAGAGTTGATGTACAATATTGTGTTAGTTTCTGCTGCACAGCACAGTAAGTCAGTTATACATATACATATATTCACTCTTTTTTAGATTCTATTCCCATATAGGTCATTACAGAGTATTGAATAGAGTTCCCTGTGGTATACAGTAGGTTCTTATTAGTTATCTATTTTATAAATAGTAGTGTGTATATGTCAATCCCAATCTGCCAGTTTATCCCTCCCCCATCTTTCCGCCTTGGTAACCATAAGTTTGTTTTCTGTCTGTGTGGCCTTCCAGCTTAAAAAAAAAAATCTGACATTAAAAATTAGGAGATTGTATAGAAAATTTTGGATTGCAAGGATTTTAGAAAAATTAACCATTCTGGCAACACTACCTTCATATTCCCACAATTCCATATCTATATAAAAGGACTAGATTTGAGGACAGGCTCCCTGTTTCAGGTAGGACAAACAGTGACCAGTTCACCATACTCTCTGCTTCTCCCAGTCTTCCTGACATGGGCTGATGCTGGCTCTCATTTATCTTTGTGCTTGTAAAGTTTTATTTCTTGTAACAGAACCACAAAGAATGGCCCCAAAGCAGAAACGACCCCAGTGTCCATTTCAGTAGAATGTCCATCATCAACAAATACATTGATATATTAAACTCTGAAAGTGAAAGAACAGTTTCTTTAGTCCCAAACGTGATGTCCAGTGAAAGAAACCAGACTGTATGTTTCTATTTATAAGAATGACAAGAATGGGCCAAGGTAATCTATAGTATTAGAAGTTAGAATTGGAATTTTTATCTTTGGGGAATGGCAGTGACTGTGAGTCAGGAGTGTGACTTCTGGGATAGCTTATATGTTCAATCTCCTGACCTGTGTGCTGGCACTTGGGTGTGTTGTCTTTGTGTCATTCACTGTGTGCAGTTTTCTGTTTACGTATGCTTTGCTTGAATAAAACTAAGAGTGTGCCTGTGCAAACAGATTATATCCGGGTTTGCTTACTTGTTTACATGACTTGCTGGCCAATACAGATCTTCGAATTGAAAAATTTCTTAAAAAAATTGTTTTCCTAGTGTTTGAAAAGAGGTGTGATTTTTACTTGAGCTATTTTTTAGGTTTTAGGGTTATAAAAGTCCAGTGCAACCATGTTTAAAATGATTAATTTCAATGCCTCCAGACACATCTCAATATCTTTGAGTTGTTTATTCAAGAAAGTTTTCTGGGCAGTACATATTCTGAGCCGTTTCATATCTGCTGTAGCATATGAATGCTGGATATAGAATTCTTGCACCACAATATTTTCTTCTAAAAGTCTGCAGACATTTTTATAAGATTTTCAGTCAGTGGTACTTGAGATAGGAAGCCAATAGAATATTTGCTCTTTAGTGGGATACTTTAAACTTTAAAGATTTTTCCTTGTGATGTTGTACATATTGTTTAACTATTAAATTTGTTTCTATATTTTTTCTTTTAAAAATTGATTTTTTAATACTTGAAGTTAGAAATGTTCAATCAGCGTATGTCAAAGTGGGTTCAGTTTTGCCTAGGATCTGGTGTGTACTCTCAGTTACTTAAAATACTTTAACCAAATAAGAATTTTTTTCTGTTATTTGACAATTCTCTCTCTTTCGGTAGTTCTCTTTCTTTAGGGGACATCTACTATTATCTCATCTTCTCTCTACATTACTTTCATTGCTTTTACCTTCTCCCTTGTAGTCGGGGATAATTTCTTGACATCATTTACTATTTTGCCTGTTCCATTTTCTGTGGAGTGCAAACTGCATTTAACTGCTTCTATAATGACTTTAAACATCCATTTTACTTTTAAGATAAGACTATTCTGAGCCCCGCGTGCGGAGGGCGATGGGGCTGGCGCCAAGGGCTGGCGATTTACCGCGGGAGGCGGCGCGGGAGCACGGCATGGAGGTGCTGGCCTAGCTGGGGCCCGTGGCCCTACGTTGTCTGGCTGCGATGCGGGTCCTGCGCCTGTTGCGGAGCCGCAGCCACTGGGCGGTGAGCGCCCGAGGGTCTGGGAGGTGAGCCGGGGACCCCAGGCGGGTGTGGGCATCGTGTCCACAGCTTGCATCCCCTAATCCGCGCTCGGGCCATGATCACTCGGTGAAGCTGCGCTGCGACACCGCGGCCGACTTCTTCCCGCGCTGTGAGGACCTGTGCGCGCTGCAGGACTCAGTGCCTCTGCCCGCCTTGCGCGCTTCCCTGCGGGAGGGCCTGCTGGACTTAACAACGACCGCCTCCGTGGGGTGGACTGGGTGCCGCTCCTGAGTACCCTCTGCCCCGATCTGTATCCAGAGCTTCTTCCAGCCACGGCTGGGCGAGACAGTACCAGTGGATGACTTCTCCATCGGTGAAGGAACCATCCAAAGCTGCTAGACAGAAAAGGAGAACTATAATTTTGGAAAGTGGTCGAAAAGGAAAAGCTACTATTAGAATTGATGTCCAGTGGAGGCCCAGAATAGAAGTAAGATGAATATTCCATTCCGCATTGGCAACACCAAAGAAGATGATGCTTTAGAAAAAAGATTTCTCGACAAAGCTCTTGAACTCAATATGATCTCCCTGAAAGGGCATAGGTGGTGAGTACGTGCCCCATCCAGAAGCTTGTCAGAGAATTGGTTTAGTTTTCAGATGCTGAAGGAGACACATCTAGGAGCCTGCCCATCCTGGAGTAGCAGTTATTGTAACTAGTTGGGAAAGACCGTTTGTTATGGGGGTGCTCCTGCTGCTGCTTACAGGCCCCTTAGTGCGATTCCACGGCCCGGAGCATGGTGGGGGGGGCCACACCTTCTAGGAGCTTTGGTCAAAATTTCCTTTGAAAATCTCTGCTCTGACAGCACAAAGGGTGCCATCCCATCTCTGGTGTAGCTGGCACAGCCTGTTCAGTGTAAGAACAGACACTGTTGCTCCCCCGGACATCAGAGAGAGTAGTTAATTCTGTCAGCTCCATGGAAGATGTATGTTCTCACGCATGAGAATAGCTGCCCGCTCCCTGCCCCCTGCACGGCAGGCTCATCAAAGAGTTGAGCTAACCTAGGTTACCTGTGAGCGTGACGGTCCTTCACTGCGTTGGAAAGGAACTTTCTAATGACTGAGATGTGTGACGATCCTGGCCACCTGCGGGGGCTTTCAGGTGGGAGGTTGGACACGATGACCTCAGGTGCCGTGACTCTCGCAGGAGCTGGTGACGGGAAGGAGGGTCGTCCTGATGCTCCTGTTCTTAACAGCTGCATTGTGGTTCTTCTGGGTCTGTGGGAGGCATTCGGGCCTCTCTGCATAATGCTGTCACCATCGAAGATGTCAGAAGCTGGCAGCCTTCATGAAGCATTTTTTTGGAGATGCACCAGCTATGAGCACATCCTAACCAATATACACTCTGCCCTTGAACAGTGTACATAATTGAAAGTCACTTGGGCATGGCCAGAAAAACTAAACAAACACAGTATTTTTCTCGAATGAACATACTTATGATAGATTTTCTTCTTTTTTTTTCCAGAGAACAGCAAAACATCCACAGCTATCCCAGGCTGTTGAAACTGAACCTTAATTCTGACTTGAACTGGAAGCTTTTAAAAAGTCTTCTCTTGATTTTCTACCAAATTCCAGCTACTGTTGTCTTTGCTGCTACTTTTTCTGCATAGATCTCATATTCAAAGCTGCCTATGGGTTTAATTATATGCCAATTGCAGGTTATTATTTTTAGAGAAACACAGACACACAGCATGGAGGGTGGGTGGGGCTCTCTAGGTGCTGAATTTTGATCCTTTGCAAGATGACAGCAGTGGGGTCTTCTGGACTTTATATGGTTATTCTCATAAAGCGATAAAAGTGACTTACTATATGTTTATATAGCAAGGTCTGTTTTTAATACCAAATAGTTTATATCTCTATGCATTTATATCTCTTTGCCTTTATATTTCTAATAATACGGTTCTTGTTGGTATATGTTGAGACTTTGAGAATTTGTTACGATCCCTGACCTTGTGCCTTAGAGTGTTACATTCTCAACAGTTGTGTGCCTCCCCTTCCCCCTCCCCTCTCCCTTTTTAAGCTGCTTCACAAGATTTGGAAGCTCCCTGATTCACTTTTACTTTGCTTTCAGTGGGTAGAAGTGGGTTGGTTGGTTGGTTGGTTGGTTTTGTTTTTCAGTTATGCTGTTAAACTAAAAATCTGCGTTAAATTCCCTTACTGTTTCTTCACGTGACTGTTCTCTTTCTGGTGTTTGACCAGTGATGCTGTGAGTTCGGGAAGATCTTTGCTGAAGAGTCTTTTCCCCTATTGTTCATCCATTGTCAGTGTTTTTTTTTTTTTTTTTTTTTCCTTGCGTTATGCAGGCCTCTCACTGTTGTGGCCTCTCCCATTTGCGGAGCACAGGCTCCGGACGCGCAGGCTCAGTGGCCATGGCTCACGGGCCCAGCCGCTCCGCGGCATGTGGGATCTTCCCAGACCAGGGCACCAACCCGTGTCCCCTGCATCGGCAGGCGGACTCTCAAGCACTGCGCCACCAGGGAAGCCCCATCGTCAGTGTTTTATGTTGACCGTGTGAAGGACATTAAAGTCCTAAAACATCTAAAAAAAAAAAAAAAGACTATTCCACTGCAATTCTTTTTTATTGTAAATGTTTCCTTTTTCATGATGAGAGATTCTAGGTTGTTGAGTCATGTTGAAATATGAATTATTTAGTGTGTCATAAACTGAGGTATATGAGACACTCAACTATACACTTGTGGTCTAAAAATTAAAGTAAAAAAAATCCTGAATCAGATAATTTGTAATTTTTCTATTTTTTGAAATAACTCTATTTCAAAGAAAGGTAGCTCTACTTAGTCATCTTAGAATCTTTTATATTATTCTTATGATGTGTAGACTATTTTGCTGAGTTCTGTAGTTATTCTATTTGCTGTTCTTGTAGAGGGATATATTTACTTGCTTGGTGTCCAAGAAAGCATTGGACTGCGTTCTGATAATGTGTGGGTTTATGACAAGATATCTCAAGTAGAATTTGTTTGAAAGAAGAAATGAGAAAAATACAATTAAATCATCAGATTGCTTGCTCAGTGATTTTTAAGACTAAAAGCCATGGAGAAGTATCTAGAGCCACAGCTGCAGTCACAACCAGCTCTTTGTGCCACTGCACAAATACAGAGCAGAGCAGCTCCCCATCATGCTGTCTTCTGCTTGCTGAGACTTTTGTTTATTTTTTGTTGTTGTTGTTTTTTTGTGGTACGCAGGCCTCTCACTGTTGTGGCCTCTCCCGTTGTGGAGCACAGGCTCCGGATGCGCAGGCTCAGCGGCCATGGCTCATGGGCCCAGCCGCTCTGCGGCATGTGGGATCCTCCCGGACCGGGGCACGAACCCGTGTCCCCTGCATCGGCAGGCGGACTCTCAACCACTGCGCCACCAGGGAAGCCCTGCTGAGACTTTCTGCAAGAACAAAGTCTGAGGCCTTCCAACACAGAAGCTGTTATCTGTCGGCTGAGGTGAGAGGATCCTAAGGGCTGGGCTTACCAGTGAGTTCTCAACACCCTCTTTTCTGAGTCTTAGGATGGCACCAAACTCACCTCTTTAGGTTGGGGTTTCAGTAAGCATTTGTTAGTGGCCTCCCTGGATCCATGACCTCTTCTCCTTTCCAAAGAGTTGTGACTTCCATTTAGGTTTTATGTGTTTCCATCATGATCTTCCATCCAACCCCCTGGCTGCAAGGATTGTTTAGAAGATGGCATGTAAGCTAAGCCAGTCCAATCAATGTGCCTCTCAGGAATTTTTCTGAGAATACAGGGACAAAGACTCTCTTTCCTGATGGATGTGGACGTGGCACTGGAAATGTTGGCAGCTGTCGTGAGACCATAGGGGTGAAGGAGCCAGTCTTAGGATATATCTGACACCAAGGCTGGGAGAGTGGAATTAGAAAAAAACAAAACAAAACTGGGCTTTAGTGACATCACTGAGTAGCTGAAATAGTCCTCATTGGACTTCAGAAAGACATTCTTCTGCATTTACCTTTTCCCAAGTCATTAAGTGTCCGTTATTGTTAAGCCACTTTGAGTCATGCTTTCTTTACTTGCATACAAATGGATCCTCAGTAGTATAGTGGTGTCATTGGGGGCCTATTAGTTCTTCTCCCTACCATCTAGAAACATTGTTCTCAGGAAGAGGGCAGCCTTCATCATCTTTCTTTGATCCAGGACCTCTTAGACTATATCTGGAGAATAAATTCCTGTAGATTTCTGATATGCAGGTGGCACCAGTCCTTGATTTCCAGTGGTTATGCAGATGTTTTCCAATATGATTATTTTGTTGGTCACTGTATTAGTTTTCTATTACTGCATAACGAATTACCATAAATTTAGTGGCTCAAAACAATGGACACTGATTATCTCAAGTAACTGGATTAGGAGACTGGGCACAGCTTATCTGAATCTTCTGCTCACTGTCCCACAAAGCTACAGTCAAGGTGTTGGCTGAGCTGCATTCCTTTCCAGAGTTCAGCATCTTCTTCAAATTTCATGTGGTTGGAAGAATTCAGTTCCCTGTGGTTGAAGGACTGAGGCTCTAGGTCCTAGGGCCCACCTACTTTTCCCTGCCACATGCTCCTCTCCATAGGCAGTTTGCTTTCAAGGCTAGCAGGACAGCCTTTCCCTCCAGTCTAGTAAGACGGAGTCTTGTAGATGTATTGTAGCATAATCACAGGAGTGACATTCCATCACCTTTGGCATATTCTACAGGTTAGAAGCAAATCACAAGTCCCATCTGCACTATCAGGGAGGGGGTTACTTAGTGTGACTTGGGGGTTACATTAGGCTGTGTCCACCGCAGTCATTTCAATAGTAATTTAGTTTTATTAGAATTGGGTTGTGGCTAAGATATGTCCCCAGCCTTTCGCACTGTATCTTTTACTCTTTGACATCAGTTTGGCCTTAAGAATGGTTTTAGTGTTTCTGAGAGAGAGAGACCAGTGTGGAAAAGTGGAAATAAACCAAGCAACTGATCATCATAGAAACCCAGGAGGAAGGCACAGCTAAGGTTTCACAATTCCTTAGGCTGCCCTGGCTC